ACAGCTCCAGCCGTGCAGGCCATAGCAGAAGCGGTGCAGACGGACTCTGCGCCCTGGCGCGACTCCACGTGCCTTACGCGCCGGGCTTTCTGCGTACAGGGCAGCGTCCCAGGAGGCAAATGCCACGTTGTGACGGAGCCAGGACCCTCTCCCCTGCCTTTTGGGGGAGGGATGTGTGTAACGAGGGGAAATGGCCTGAGGAAGCCCACACAAAGCCAGACTAGCAGGGATGCTGGGGCTATCGGGACTGCATCTTCCCCTAACTCATTCAGAGGCGGCGAGATCCTCTCCCATTCCCGGCCAACGCCGTGCCAGCAAAACTGCAGTGCCAACCAGACCCAAGCCCCCTGCTCGCCTGCCCACTGCTGCTGCCTCATTTTTGTCACCCTGCTAAATTAGCTCCGTCAGGCCTTTTTTGTGTTTAACCCCCGCTCTACTGGTTTCTCCCAACTTCTTGGCATCAGAATTGCACGGTCTGGCGGATGAAATCAGAATAGCTCCTCTGTCTTCAGTGGCAGAGAAAATGAACTGCAGAAAGACAACTAGCAAGCGGTCAGGGGGCTGCCGTCTGTTAGACTCCACGGAGGAAGTCGATGCAAGGACTTGGGGAGTGTGGCTGGTCTTAACCCTGCTCCGGGGAACTTCCAGTCCTTCGTTAACGTTTCTGGTCATTGCATGGAGCTAAGATGTCACGTTTAAGGATGCATGGCTGCTGGAGGCTAGGGAGGCATTTGCCTCCAGCGTGTTCACTGTTGAACACGACTGCGGGCACTGTCGTTCCCTTGGCACACTGGATATTGTGCCGAAGCAGTGTCTTTAACTCCTATGCCCAAGGGACTTCGTACCAGATCATAGCCTAAGGCCTGACCACACACCACCGTACATGTACAGTGTTAAAACACAAGTGGACAGATATGGCAGACCTCTACCCTGCGGTCACGCCACCCAAGCTGGTGTGGACTCACCCTGGAGAGCAATAGGGCTGAAAGTTTTATCCGCGCCTGTCCAGCCACTTGGCTCAAGGCAACCGGGCTATTACTAATAGTGAGGCACCGACTGTATGTAGATACTCCAGGATAGCTTCTCATCTGTCTGCTCCAGACAATTGACAGATAACTTCTTATCTGTGCGCTGGCACACACCACTCTCGTGAAATGCCCCAAGTGTCCGGGCACAAAGGGAAGCATCAGGGCCAGCACAGGAAGGATGTCAGCTTAATTCCCTTTGTAGGCAAAATAGAAAGTAACGCCCTTAGCACAAAGCTACACCTCCTTTCCCATCCATATTGATTGCCTTTCTGCTTTAAGTACCATTCCTAAATGGCTTGCAGCTTTCTGCAAGGTGATGTCGAGGGCGCATTACACTCCGAACACGTAGTTATAAAGCGAGCAAACAAATGGGGAAGCTGGGTTGAACGGCCCTATTTAAAAAAAGCACGCCGTGGCAAGCCAGGTGCGGTGTCGTAAAGCAGTCAAGCTCACAGATGTTACCCAAGGTTTAATGCCTTTCGCGGCTGTCCCACCTCCACCTGAGCTGCACATCGGCCTCACAGCCGGCAGAGCCTTGCCGACTTCACGGCTCCCTTGCAAATCGCCTTGCCCCTGCATGAAATGATTGGCATCTGTCAGGAGCCGGATGATGGGCGGCACTGATGTAAGGCCCCGACACTGCACGTGGAGAAGTCTAGCTGCATGCTGGCATGCTTCCCGGGGAGCAAATGCTTTACTGTCAGGAATGACTGGCATGTATAACACAGGGGAGCGGCGCAGTCCAATGGTTCGCGTGCTGCGCTGCGAGTCGGGAGACCTGCATTCGGTCCCGCGACCTGCTGCAGCAAACGCCCAGCTCCCCTCCTCGTTCCTGTCTGGCTTCGAGGCTAAACTCTTCTAGACACGTTGCACTGTTCGTACAGTGCCCAGGTGCCGTGCCGTGCCGTGGGATATGAGCGCAGCGTCCTGCCTGCTGCCACCAGGAACAAATGCATCCTTCCAGGAAGCACTGGCAGGACGGAGACTCCTCGAGGTATCCAAGGGAGTCAGATGCCCCACGTCAGAGGACCTGGGCATAAATAAGTGCTGGCCACCCACCCCATTTGAAAGCCTAGCTTCAGTTCCCAAAACATTGTGAAGTATGGGGTGGCCAGCAGGTCTGCCGAAACGGTCTTGTAAGGGCAGATGCAATGCCCAGATCACTGCACCAACGTGCTGCATGCCAGGGCGTAAAGGAGCCCCGAGCCCCAGTGCTGAGCCCCCTTCCCCTGCGATTACTGCTTTAGCCCCAGTGGCCACATGATGCTCTTAGCAGTGAGATGACCCTGCCCGCTCTCGAGCGCCGTCTTCATGCAGCGTGCAAGATTCGTCGCTGCGTGAGCCAGGGGAGTCGAGCAGGATTGCCGAGTCTTTAAAAAGGACTGGGAAATTCGGGGTTGGTCAGTAGGGTTTGTGCTTGTGCACGCTGAGAAATGGGCACGCTTCAGCAGAGAAGCTGTGCACCTGCAGGGATCAAAGGAGGATCCCCACCAAGGAGCTCACCAGGTGGGTGAGAAAGTGGCCGTAGCCAGAGACACGGGAGCGGATGGCACAAGGGCCTGATGGTAGAGAGCAGAGCCCAGGGGAAATGAACTCAGCTGGTGACATCTGGGCCCTCTGGTTATATCAGGGCAGGTGCCGAGCTAGGAAGCACTCAGTAGAGGAGCTATGCTGGACTTCTGGATCCATTTGCATCAATTAAAACCAAAGGAAAAGAGGCACCTCAATTTCTTTGGGGAATCAGCGCCTTGGCTATTGGGGTGCAAAGCAGTTTGCGCTCTGTGGGGCTGATCCGGAGTGGATATAAATCCGGGGATCCGCTCACATCAGTAGATGGTGGGGGTTGGTTTGGCACCACGGTTCCTGGCCTGCCCGCTCTTCAGCGCTTGCAGCATTCGTTGTCTTGTCCTTTCCCATTTCTTCTTTTCTCCTCCTCCGAATTCCCACCACCGAACACTAATTTTAGAATTGACGTTTCAGCAATAGAGAACAAAAAAAAAAGAAGCCAGGTCTGTGCAAAACTGATGCAAAAAACCCCCGATCTAATTTCTTTTGTAGAGTTTTAAGAACTGCTGCTTTCCCATCAGGGAATTCACTTAATTTCTGCATGTAAATCTAAAATCAAACGCTGGGCACAGGCAGAGCAGATGGCAAGGGTTCGGTTGTGTAATACGGCATTCAAAACCAACACGCATCCCAAAACCAACACTGTTTTTGACCAGTCCTGACTGAGGCCAAAAGTCACGATCCCTCGTGTGGGTTGTAAAGACCGAGCTCAGCATAGGGCTCTCTTCTCCTTGTTGGGCTCTCATGGCTCGATTGCAAGCCATCTTGGCCCAAAGAGCCCTGGCTGGTGAAACGCCTCATCTCCAGTTCAATGGCACTGATGCAACATGCCCCGGTCAGCGGCTAGCCTCCGTTTCCCAAGGTATTTGCACTTACATGCCTGCTAGAGCCAATTTCCCAAACACCCCTCTGTTATCACTGCTCTCTCCGGACGTGCCGCAGGCTCCACCAGGATCTACGATGCGAAGAATCAGCTGACTGGTGCTAACTGTAATGTATTGAGCCGTCTTCCCAGCCTTGGCTGCAGTCTTTTTTTAAATGTAAGGCAAGTCCTTGAAAGGACTTTGCTAATTATGTAGTATATAGCTTGTGGGTTTAATGATTTAGCCTTGGAACAACTATTTATGTGGCAAATGCAAGGATCTCTTGTTACGCCTGAAGTGACGGGGGGTTTTTTTCCCCCCACTCTAAGTGATCAGTAGCAAGAAAACCACAATTGGCTAGACATGAGGATAAAGCTGCTTCAGGAGAATAGTTAGGCAAAATCACGCCCTTAGCTTGTACAAAACCCCTCTCGGCAAGCAACAGGGCCCAATGCACCTGGAGTGGTTCGGAGACAGCGTCTCATCCTATAGCTGCAGGATTGCAGTGGGTAGAACAGGACACGAGGACAGGCTGCATATCCCCCCCAAGCTCTCCAAGCATCACGGGGTGCAGCCTGGGCTGGCAGACCCCCCGGTTGTATAACCCTGGGCCTGGTTGCACCCTGGGATTGAGGGGCTGGCTGCATGCCCAGCTGTGTGCTGAGCCCGGACTGCGTGTTGCTCTTTGGGTCCTTGATGCTCTCCTGTTGCACCTGCCCTTTAGCGGAGGGGATTTTCTGCCACCTACAAGACAGCTCCCCGTCCCCTTCCCTCTGTCCGGCGGTGTCTGCTGTTCCTGTCCTCACCCACTGCCACGCACCTTTGGGGCCACAGTGGCGAGGGGTCATTTAAAGTAGCCCCGAGGCTGCGTGCTGCAGGCCAGGCCATGAATCCAGAGCTCCTGCCCGTTGCAAATTATGCTGCAGCTCTTGCTTTTCCCAGCAGAAGCCGCCAAATTCCCACCCCCAGCATTGCTTCCCCTTCCAATGCAATGCCGGTAGGAGCTGGTGTGGCCTGAACAGTGGCCTCAAAGCCCAGCTATGTCACTGTGGATGACACCTTTCCAAACTTACCCTGCCTGGATCTAAACAAGTGGAGGAATTCACAGCGCTTGGCCTTCAAGGCCTCTGAAAATCTCATTGTTAGGCTCCCATGGCTTGATCCCAAGCTATCTTGGCCCAAAGAGCCCTTGCTGGTGGAACGTCTCAGCTCCATACATTGCTTCCCTTCATCCTCCAGAATATGCTTTATTTCTTAGTTGGTCTAATAAAAGGTATCATCTCTGAATCAAGAGTTTTAGAGTTTTGCATTTCTTTTTGACTCAGACCAACATGGCTCCCTTTATTTACTTTTGCATTCATTGCTTGCATCTGCATGGGTCCCTTCCACTCCGCTTTTTGCTTGATTTAAATTTCTAGGCCAGTTGAAGTAAGTCACTGAAGAGGTGCAGTATAATGTGTAGCAGGGGAGGAGGGGAGAGAGCGAGGAGCTGAGCCCCGTAGACGTGAGGAAGCTGAATTTGTCTTCTCTGTCTTTCCTTCAGCAAAATACATTGGCTGCTACGTGGACAACACTCACCAGCGTGCCCTGCGTGGCGTGTCCTTCTTCGACTACAAGAAGATGACAGTGTTTCGTTGCCAGGACAACTGCGCTGAACGGTACGGTGGTAAATGAACACGGCGTCTTCATTAATTTTAACCCACCAACAGTATTTCTCTCTTGTCAGCTTAAGCGCTCCAGCACCGTGACCATTTTTCTTCTGCTTCCTCCTCCCGTTATTTTTAAAGCGCCTCAACTGACATTGCCAAAGATCCTGGGTTTTGATTTGGCTTTGTTTGGTTTTTTTAAACTCACCAGGAAAACCCTCTTCTGATGTCAGGCAGGCTGCGAGCAACTTCATCCCCCTTTGGTCCCGTGCGGAGATGGGAATAAAGATCTGGCCGGGGTCAGGGCTTGCAAAAGTAAAGCTGGCAAATGCATGACGCCAAATGAAAAAGCGCAGTCGCGGTGTGACACACGAGGGATCGTGCATCTTTCCAGGCTGCTCTGTGTTGCTTTTAAACAACGGTAATGAATTACCTTTCACCCCCGAATCCCTCTAGCCAGCTCTTTCTCTGGGCAGGGCACTTGCTTTTCTGCCTGGGAGGTGGCGGAGGGAACAGACGGACCTTCATGGAAATTAATGTCCGATTTTCTTTATTCCACATGCAAACCCTGCTACTGCAGGCGTCTTCTTAGCTCTTGCTACCACCACCAGCTGGGTACGCAGTCCAGGGCAGCAAGTCATCCTCCCAAACATCCCTGCAAAGAAAACCTCTTAGCTTTTCAGCTCCCCCCACCATTTAGAGGGGAAACTGAGGCACAGAAGTGCAAAGGCGTCAAAGTGGAGTGGCAGGCAAAGGACAGGCCCAAAGCCATAGTCTGTGAGCAGTCAGGGTGCCAAGGCCAAGTTTCAGGCTGGAGACAAGAGCTGGCGCGGTGGTCACTTGCTCCGGGGTCAGCAATGCTGCTGTATCCCTGCCAGTCCGTTAAAGGGCTGAGCGGTGTCTGGCGTGGTGTGGACGAATGGGGCAGGGTTGCCAATTGGGCCTGGGAGATTTTCAAAAACACCTAAGGACCTACCTAATTCTCTCCATGCAGCCCACCGGATCCCTCTCTGCATCTGTCAGTGCCCAAATACCTTTAGAAACCAAGCATACCCAAGGGCATTAAACGTCAGTGGCCTGATCCCTCTCAGAAAATTAGAAGCTTTTGCTTCTTTCCAACCTTCCTGAGCACCAGCCCTTCCGCAGCGAATGCCCTACCCGCCTCTGAAACGCATCGGACAGTGGCTGCCTATTGCCAGATAATCCCTCCCTGCAACTTTCCTTATCACCAGCAATTACTGCCCCGGCACCTGCCCCATCAGGAGGCCAAGTCAGAGGACGGAGGTCCTCCAGAGTTTCGTGGCATCCTTGAGCTGTCCCATTAGTGCTGCACCGATGCACCCAGGGTCCTTCTCTGCTCTGGCTCCCAGTGCAAAACCGAGGCAGGCCTGAGCTCTCATCCAGGGAGCCACGCGATGTTGGAGCTGTCTGTGGAGATAACCTTGCCGCCTTCTCTTGCCTGCCTTGTGCTAGCGCCAAAGGAGGCACGCTCCAGGCTATACCTGTACTTGGCAGCTGCAAACGTGAGCTAAAATTTGCAGCGCTTCTATGTCAACTTCCAGCATCCTAACACCCGAGAGCGCCCCGCTGTCAGCCCTTGCCTTCCTGAAGAAATATAGCTCCCCGTGAGGTTCGCAGGATGAACGGTGAAGATTTATGAACCTGCAGCTGTTAGAGCAGGTAAAAGAGGTGCGCATGGTGAGGCTGCAGCCAGGTGTGTGCAGCTGACAGCAGCCGGCACAGGTCTGCAGGTAAGCGCAAAGCCATGCACCCAACACAACTGGTTGGCCCCCTTAGGTACGGCCAATGATGGCTCGGGAGATGGTTTCGACTGCAAACTCACCAGGCCAACACATCTTCTCTGTTCCTGGGCTGAGCGCGCTGTCATTACTCAATAAATAATCGTGAGGGAGCCTCAGACTTCACCCATCCGCAGTGGGACGGCTACACGTGAGGCATCCTGCTTGGAAAGTTGTGTCGCCGGAGCTGCGTTGGCTGGTAGATGCTGTGTGACAAGCTCTGACCCCTTCTCCGAAGCGCAGTGGTTTTCATCTCTGCTTTCACTTTGCAAGCTCGCTCCTGCGTGCCACGTCCCCTTGCAATCTTCTCCTTTCATATCAAATCTGTATCAAGTACAGGAACTTTCCTCTTTTGAAGCCCCGCAAAGTCTCCATCACTTATTATTTCTCCTGCAACACACATAATGCCCTTTGCCTTTAAGTAATGCTGCTGTCTCTTGCTTTATGATCTATACGATGCACTAAGCCCTTTTTCTTTTAAAGTGATGCTGCTTCCAGCTAGTGTCTAGTAAATCATCAACAATGGCCACACACCGAAAGAAAAGATCACGTCTGCTTTGTTCAGAGAACTTGAGCCGCAGCGAGACTCCCCTGGCGACTAGGACTCTCCTACAGGCTCTGGAAAAACTGGTGCCCTGCCACCACCAGCACACGGAGGCATTTAGGCTGACACATGGATGGACAGGTTGCTATAGCACATGTGAAGGGCAGCAGAGCCCAGGCAAGCCAAGCGATGCATTTCCACAGGCCCCCTTCTCAATCTCATGCCTGGTTTTACTCTGCAGGAGCTCCATTTTCACACACGGAGCTACTCCTTTTTGGAGTGTATCCTGCCCGTCTCCAGCTGCTGCACCACTGTGGGGCTCAATCCATTTAAATAGCGCCTCTGGTGCCTCTCAGATGTGGGAGTTAACAGGTGTGCAGGGTATTATTGATTACTTTTTGGGCATCATCATGACCTGTCTTTTGCTTGAGGACCGTTTTCTACAAGAGCCTGATCAAAAGCCCGTGGAAGTCAATGAGGTTAGGGCCAGGCCTTATGACCTGGATACAGATGTCTTAAGTCATTACATGGGTTTTGCATTGCCGATTTGAAGAGCAGCTCCTCTGGATCTGAAAGCAAATATATCCTAATGTGGCACGGGTCAGAAATGCTCCCGCGACAGGCGTGTTTCTCTCCTGGCAGTGCCCTGAATGCACTGAATAAGGAAGGGCCCAAAAGGGGAAGATGCACCAGGTTTGTACAGGATGCTCCCCTCTCGCAGGCATAATTGCTGCACGCCAGACCTCCTGCAAGAGGCTCTGACCTGCACATGCCGACGGGGCTGCGGGGATGGCAGTGGGAAGCCTGCTTGCTGAAGGCCAAATCCTGAGCAGTGCTAGCTGCACTGGGGGGGGGCATAGTACTTCCTGGGACACTGGCGACAGCCAGGGCTTGCTATCAGAGTTGGGATCCACCGTGGGGAGCTGAGATGCATTCCCCCCACGGTTCATGTAATAGAAATGCGCAGGATCTGCCTGGTGGAGGAAACTTAGCCCTAGATCACAAGTGCCCCGCACTAGGGAGCCCTGTGCATTTCCGCGAGACCAGGTATTGCAGCCAACATTTCCAGCAGCCTTGACGGATTACCAGTCGCTCCCCTCTAGCAGGGCCAAAATGCAATCTTACATAACTGCTTTCCACCCCGGATGCTGCGATCCCCCCTCGTTCCTCCCACCCCTGCTGTCTTACTGTCCTGGGTGCAAGGCGCTGCTCTGACTCTGCTCTCTCTCCCCAGGGGCTACCTGTACGCAGGGCTGGAGTTCGGGGCCGAATGCTACTGCGGTCACAAAATCCAGGCTTTGAACGTGAGTGAGGCGGAGTGCGGCATGGAGTGCAAGGGGGAGAAGAGCAACGTCTGCGGAGGCGTGAACCGGCTCTCCATCTACCGGCTGGAGCTGGCCCAGGAGTCCGCCCGGAGATGTAAGCAATCGCCGTGTTGTGGTCTGGCCCGCAGGTGGCTGGCAGGAACGGACGGGGAGGTGCAACACGGGCACAGAGAGGGTCCGTGCCCCCTTCCGCGTTTCCCAGGGGCACGTGCCCTCTTGGCCTTTTCGGGGGGTGGACCCCGCATCGTTGGGCTCCTGCGATGGGCGACTGTTTGCGTTTCAACCTTCGCGGCCAGGACAGCTGGAAGCAGCCCTCCCCTCCGCTCCCCTCCCCGTGCTCTGTGAAGCTGGTGGTTCAAAGGGGCCGCGGGGGAGAATAAGAGTTGGGTGCATGTGGGAAGGGGGGCTTGAGGCGACTTTCGGTGCCCTTCAATAACATTCAGAGGCATCTCCAAGCCCTCCCCACTTCCCAAGCTGTGAGACGCCCCCCCCAGCAGTCATAACAGGTGCCTGGCGAGATCAAGACCCCTTGCATCTTGGCGGGTCACGGGAGAGGGTCTCACACGAAAGTGGTCTCACGTGTACCAGGGGTGAAGCAGCGGCGTTGTCCCCCAGGTTGCAGCTGTGGTTTCTCCAGGAGGCAGCTTGCACCCTTGGTGGGGCGCCCCTGGCCTCTCCTAGCAGCCACTGGACTCCATTAGGGAATGTGGCAACTCCCTTGCGGCTCCCTTCCCCTGTCCCCATCGCCCCATGCACGCTCCTCGCAGCTTGCATCATGGTGAGCCACGCCGCAAGCCGCCGTCGTGTCACCTCCCCCAGGCAGAGGGGGGACTTCTGTCGGCTGCCACGCCGGGTTGCCTTCGCTGGCTCTCCCCAGACCAGCTCTGGGCGACTTCAGCTCGGGAAGAAGGGGAAAAACCAGGGCCGGGTTTGGCTG